ACAAAGGAGACTGGACTGGGGAAATGGTTACTCACAAAACTATGTAGCTGAGACTTTCTAAGTCCCAGAACCACAAAGTCTTAGTGTACAAACCACAGCTGGCCCAGCTCCAAGCCATACTACAAGAAATTGCCAGGAAAGGATTCTATCACATTTGTCTGAGGGTTATGACTTATTTTTGAAGTGCAGGTTTGTCTTAGGTCAAGTAGTAAAGAAAAACAATGACCTTATTTTACAAAACAAAATGTCTTAAAATTTCAAAGAGTTTTTTCATCAATATGCAAGTATGATTCTTTCAGGATATGACAAACTTTCACAGAAAAAGAGACTGTGAATCATTGAGCTGATTCATCTACTGGCTTCAAGCAAAGCTAGAAACGTGTGCCTTAATGCAATATGGATAAGGCTGTGTACTCAATGACCAAATCAACTCAAATTCAATCATAAACTTCAAAAAAAGAGCCACCCAAATGTACCCTGTGTTCAATGACTGCACTATTACCATCCAATTCAGACATGAGCAATACTCACCCCTGTTGACTCAGAGCCTCACAGCTGGGTTGGAGGGCAGAGCACTGGGCTATTTCTCAAGCAGGCTGTCTCCTGAGCAAGCTCAGGAGACAAGGGTCTATGGGACCACTCTGATCTAGCCATGCATTGAATCATGGTGGTGATTCTCCCGACTTTCAGGAGTGGTTTTAGAAGACTCTGCCAATTTATAAGTCTAAGTTTCTTTGTTTTAGTCTGGTCTCTCTGTCTCTATCTCTCTCTGTGTGTCTGCCTCTGTGTGTGTGTGTGTAGAAAAGAGAGGAGTGTGTATGTGTGGAGAGAGAGAAGAGAGAGGAACAGAGACAGAGAGACAGAGATAAGCTAGATCTTCCTGGTATGAAATCCCACTCTTCCAAGGCAGATATTGGAATAGAACACTCTCCTTATCTCTAGTGCCAAGAAGGCTATGGGTACTCTCCCTGTGGGATAGCAGGACTTCCTAGCCACTTCTGTGACCAGGTCGGGACCTTCAGATTTTCCCAAATAGCAGATTGCGTTTGAACAGCCCACAGTTCCTCCCTGAGTTCAATCGCATGGCCAGGGCTATCCTCTTCTTCATGGGCCACAGAACCATCTTCAGTGGGAAATAAGCATTTTAAGTAATAGCAATACTGATAGGGACTCTTGGGAACTGGTAACCCAGTCCAGAGAGTACTGTAACCTCTTTACCAGAAAAATTACTCGTTCTTCCCACTTAGAGATCTATGGTGTTGAGTAATTGAACCATAGTTCAAGTAGAGTGTCCCAGAAAAAAATCCACTTGGGCTCCCTGTCTGGAGTCTGGCAGGCTTCCAGCACAGCCAATGGCCAAGCTCAATCTGTATGTCTCCTTCTTCCAAGGCTTTGCCTTCTGCACAGCACTTCACTAACAGCAAGCTGGAGACTGCCTGGAGTTGGCTTTTGTTTGGGGAGTTACTGGCCAGAGCTTTTGAACAGGAGTGTTCCACAGAAGCACTAGATATTATTCATATAAAATGAATACTTTTTTAAACAGTACCCTTTCAGAAATTTCTAACTACTTTGTAACTGGATGATTAACTTGGTGATAAAAGCAGTTATTAAAAGTCTACCTTCCCCCCCCAAAAGAAACATCAATATCTTATATCCTATTTCATGTTACTCATGCAAAACTTTACTTCTCTGATTTAAAAAAAATGAGTTATTTATACAGTAATGTATCAAACATCAAAAAATAAAATAGGAAAGAGCAGAATCTAGCCATTCACATGACAAGCTGACCTCAACCATTTAAAGATGATTCAAGTAAATTTGTATTTATTTCTTCAGCCCTTAAATATGATTTCAGAGCATACTGCACAAGGGCCCTAGGATCACAGCTCATTAAATGCAGCTGAGATCTTGTTGAACAGGAGAGATGAGAAAGGGTTTTTCAAGACTGAGGATCAAGGAGGACCTAAAAAATGTTTGTGTGAGGCATGCCTGGTTCTCATCACTCCAGGTTCCCAGGTGGACTGCATGAGGGTTCTCTGACAGAACATCACACGAGACAATTACATTTCAGGGAGATAATGGAATAGTTGTCTTATTGTTATGGCAAAATATCTGACATAAGCAACTAAAGGTGTGGGGGTGGGATTGTCTTGGCTCATAGTTTCAGGGGATACAGTCCACCACAACAGGAAAGCATGAGGTCAGGACTCTAAAGCATGTAAGCACAGCTGGACACATTACCTCCCATGGTCAGGAAGCACAGAAAGAGGAATGCTGGAATTCTGATTACTCTCTCCTTTTATTCCTTTTTATAAGTTCAGCAGCTCAGCTTGTTGATGTTGTCTACATCAGGGTTGTGAGTGTGATGGTTAATCCTTGTTGTCAACTTGATTGAATCTGGAATTTTAAAAGATGCTTCTGGGTAAGTATGTGAGGGCAGTTACTACAAGGGTTAACTCGGAGAGGAAGCTGCTGCCTCAGAGTGGGTAGTGCCTTCTGGAAGTGGCCCAGATATATTGAGATCTAAGAGAAAAGTTGTGCTACTTAAAAAAGAAAAGAAAAGAAAAAGCTGGGCCTGGTGGCACACACCTATAATCCCAGCACTTGGGGAGGCAAAGACAGGTGAATCTCTGTGAGTTCAAGGCCAGCTTGTTTTACAAATTGAGTCCAGAACAGCCAAGGCAACACAGAGAAACCCTTACTCAAAAAACTTGCACAGGTGTAGCCCATGGCAGTTCAGTGTCCAAGTGGGTTACATAGTAATGGGAAGAGGGACTGCCTCTGACATAATCTGATTGGCCTGCTCGTTGATCACTTCCCCCTGAGGGGGGAGCAGCCTTACCAGGCCACAGTAGAGGACAATGCAGCCACTTTTGATGAGAACTGATAGACTAAGATCAGAAAGAAGAGGAGAACCTCCCCTATCAGTGGACTTGGGGAGTGGCATGCATGCAGAAAGGGGAGGGAGGGTGGGATCGGGAGGGGAGGAGGGAAGGGCTTATGGGGGGATACAAAATGAATAAAGTGTAATTAATAAAAAATTTTTTAAAAAAACCAAACCTAACCAAACCAGAAAAACCTTTTCATTAGTTCTTTGTGAATTTCACATCATGCACCCCAATCCCACGCATTTCCCCTTCACTGGTACCTGCCTTCCACTCTTGCATCCTCTCTTCCTACAGAAAAAAAAAAAAAAATTACATTGTGGAAGCTGTAGAGTGTCACAGTGTGTACCACAGTATATTCTTTTGTCCACACTTCTTTCCTTGCAAATGTTCATTGCAATGACTTGTTGATCTGGTACAAGGCCCTTGGCTTCTGCTACTCTATCGATACTGGAACCTCACTGGGACTCCTGTTTAATCTCCTGTTGTTGCCCTGTGTGATGGAGATTCTGTAGCTTTGGATCTGTAGAACCAGCCCATTTATGTACTTTAGAAGTTCATCAATAGGGTAGATGTTGGAGTGGACCAATTCAAAGCCCTGGATCTTGGCCTGAGAGTTATCTGAGCTGGTCAGTCCACCGGTTGTCCCATTCTCGTGCCATTGGGGCAGGTTCACTAGGCAACCTCTGAAACTAGAGCCACTCTACTGTGCTTCCAGGTGAAGTACTGCCCAGGGCCTGCTTTCCCAAGTGCTGCAGTAGGTGAGGGGCAGAGCCCAACTCTCCCACCCTGGTGACCTCAAGGACAGCTCTTCTGCCTGCCATTGGTGGAATGGGGTAAGGAATGGGGTAGGCATCTCTTCCTAGCCCATATCACTGCACAGCAGACAAGTTGCAGGGCCAGCTCTCCTCAGGCTGGCTCAACTGCACCCCTGTCACTAAGGTCATCTTTACCGTGCTGCCACGGTGAGGTGTGAGGCCTGCTCCCCTAGTGCCGCAGCAGGTGAGGGCAGGGACAGCTCTCCTGCTCTCATGACTCGGTGGGGCCAGCTCTCCTGCCTGTCACTGATGATACAGGCAAAAGGGAGAAGAGGGCATCTCTCCCTCACTAATGCCACCACATAGCAGACACAAAGCAGGGATGATTCTCCCACACTCATGCCCTCAGGGCCAGCTCATCTGCAACCCCCACAGCCAGCGGTAGCACTACTGTGTTGCCCAAGTGAGGTCCAGGGCCTACTCTCCTGAATGCTATAACAGGTTGGAGGCAAGGACAGCTCTCTTACCTGCCTTAGGTGTCAAGGGGTGAGAGAAGGTCATCTCTCACTCACTCATGCCTTCTGAGTTGGCTCATCCATGCCCCTGCCACCAGAGTCAACTCTCCTCTGCTGACCAGGAGAGATGCAGGGCCCACTCTCTTGAGTTCTGTAGCTGGTGAGGGACAGAAATAGCTCTCCTGCTCTCTTGACCCCAGGGCCAGATTCCTATGATGCCCAGGTAGAGGGTGGGACCAGTTCTGTACAGGCCTCAGACATCAATGTGTCCCTAGGTGGCAGCCCAGACCAGACATGGCCCCTGGTGACAGAACAGACTAGGACCCCATCATGGTCAGAGGTGGCATCACTGACTACTCACTTCAAGCTGTTCCCCACTACCCTCAAGTCTCCAGTTCTGCCTCTCTTCATTGGGCCCACATCCTTCTGTTTCTCTTTCTCTTCTATTTCTCCACCACATCACGCTCCTCTGACAGGCACCCAGGGTCTCAGAGTATCTGAGGTCCTCTCAGTAGTGGTCACGGGAGTGCTATATCCCACCTGTGCATTAGAGCCAGACAGGGGTCATCTTGAGCATGCTCTGTCATCCCAGGCCTGGATGAAGCCTGATTTGTGGTTGTCTCAGGCTACCTACCTGTCCAGGCTCCATGGAACTAGTCTGCTCTTGTTTTGCTCCTTGCCCATGCCAGGGTCCTCTGTCTCAGGCTCTCTTTTGCCTGGGACCCTAAGTCACAGACAGGGTTCTTGTCTCTGGCTTGCTCCTGGTCCTGGAAGCTGTTGGGGCCTTTACTGCATGCCCCACTGATGGCCATCTCAGGTTCACTTTTTTTTTTTTTTTAGGAGATGTTAGGCTGAAACATTCAAATGTTCACAGGTCAGAACACTGAGCATAGACATAGCTACCTCTCTGCCACCTCCTGACACACACGTGACACCATAGCCACAACTGCAATGCTTCTGGAGGTGGAATGGTGCTGCTTTTTCGACTGCCTGGTTCCATTCCTTGCTGTTAAATGCATCTCTTCTGTGACTGACATTGCCAAAATCCTTTACTGACATCTGACTGGAGACCTATAGAATTAGAAGTTCACCAGACCTTCTGTGACAGACTGGGGCTGCTGAGGCAGCCAGCCACATTGACTGGGAATCTACCAAGAGAACAGCATCTCCAATGCACAGCCAACCATTGTCGGATGAGCCGGCATATTGTGTAAGCCAACATGATAAATTCCCTCTGAAATACATGCATTGTTTTCCTTCTATTCCTCTAGAAAACTCCAACAGATGTGGTAAATCTTCCCTTCTTAGTTAAACATTTCTAGAAACATCCACATGGCAGCTGGGGGTGTCTTCTAGGTGTTTCTAAATTCAGATAGGATAACAGCAAATATTAATCATCATGGATGCTCACCCACACACATTTGCATACTACACACAAGTACCCCATGTACATGACATACGTGCACCTACAATATACATTGTGTACAAACCAGGGCCCATACTCGCATACCCATACGTTACACTGGGATGAGACCCCGCAAGTCCTCACTCCAATTTCATGCCCTCCTGGGGATGTTTAGGAGTTTCTTCAAGGGGGTTCAGCAGTCCTTCTGAGGTCTAGGTGTGTCTCTGGCATTAGTGTGTGGGAAACTCAGTTCACAAATTCACATGTTGATGATTTTGATCCAGGGCCTTTGTGAGATGTTAATATTAGATGAGATCATGAATGTGGAGCCCTCAGGGTGACATCAGTGGCTTCATATGAAGAAGAGAGAACTAGGCTTGTGTACTTGCCTGTAAGATATCCCCCTGCCTCCCTGTTAGGATGCCATGCTGGAGGTCTGTGCTGGGATCTTGAACTTCCATGTAATAAGACCTTCTTTCTTTACAGATTATCCAGTTACGGTAGCATAAAGTAGAGGAAGCCAAACCCTTGGGTACTGCACCACACTCACTGTGGACTTGAGGTGCACCTGGCAAGGGGAACATTTATCTCAGGCATTTCTCCTTGGCCCTGATTTCCTGTGGTGTTCTTTGCCCCAACTTGTGCTTTTTGGGTTTGTACAAAATTCATATCCAGTGCTCTCAGGTTTATCTCTGCCAAGGCCATGACTTTGCACGTTACTGTCCCCAGAGCTGAATCTGCTTAGGGATGATGTTATAGTCTACTACAAAGATATCACAATGTCAATGAGAAGGCTGCAGCTGTTACTCAGCTTTGAAGCTCTTCGTGCTTGTGTTTCTGGACTTGTGTCCCAGTGAGGTGCTCAGAGCTCTTGTTCTGTGTCCTATATTTTTGCTGTTAAGTCTGTAATCCTTCCCAGGGTTCTCCCCTCTGATTTTAACTTTGGAAGTTATGTTAGGATGTTGCATTTAACCCATAGAACACATTACAGAAAACCAAACACTTTCCCTCAATGTGTTCTTTTTTAACTTTTTAGTAATATAGTTTGGATTCTTCCATGAACATTCGGTGCATCATCATCGTTGAGTGGATTTCTAAGACTTGAATTTTTATGCCACCATGACGATATCTTTCATACTTTGCTTTCTTTTGTATGTTGCTGGTATTTATAAAGTAAATAGTTTTGTTGATGATTCAGTGTCTTGCTAAATTCAGTTACTGATTTTAACTTTCCTGTATACTTTATTGGTATATAAATAATTCATTCACATAATCTCAACATAAAAGTAGGTTTGTTAGAATCTTTTCCGGTTCTCTCATCATTGCCTGTTCCTGTTTTACTCTAATGGGTAGGATCTCTAGGCGATGTTCACCACTGGTAGTAGAATGGACCTTTTTGTTCCCTATCTAGGGCTGGATTGTTAGCATACACAAATCACAACTGTACTGTAGGCTTCTGTAGAATTGTTTTTTATTCCTGGTGTCTAGATTTGTTTTGTGTTTTATCAATGATGATTAGGGACTGGATTCTAACAAATATTCTTTTTGTATCAGCACTTATATTTTTTTTCTTTATTCTGTTGCCCTGGTGATTCCTACTGTTTTTTTCTTAGAATGCTCAGCCCTTTAATGTCCTAAACTGTGTGCCTTTTGTGTTACTGAGAGAGGTTTTAAAGGCACACGGTGCAAGTGCAGGTCGCATATCTCCCCCTGCCGTTTGCGTGACAGTGCCTGCTGCATGGAATGTGAGCTGAGTGGATACGGTCGCAGGGCTACATTTGTGAGTTGCCCTTTGCTGTTGGTGAGATTCCTGTTCATAGCCGCGTGCTATGCTCTGCCGTGATCTCAGACTAGCTGGCCTGGTATGTATGACCACAGCTCTTTAGTCCTCTTCATGTACGTTGAACACACATCTCCTGTAAGCTGCAGGAGCTAAAAGTGCACCCCCCGCATCAGAATATACAGCTATTTCAGGTTCTTTGCATACAACCTATTATTATCTCTTGTTTACCTTGAAGCCACTATTCTTTTTTCAGCAACCTGCTATGGCCTCAGTGCTTCAGAACTACCCATTGCTATGCACGTCAGCCATCAGGTGCTGGCTCCCACCGACTCCTTGTTCTTGAAAGCTTCGGTGCGCTTGGTCTTAGCTCTAAGAACTCTCCAGTTTGTCTAGCTAGATTATAGACACATTGTGTGCATCTGTTTAAATGCTTCTGGATAAGATGTTGGGCCTGCAACCAGTGTAAGGAATAGAATATCTTGTTTATAGAGTATGCACAATTTCTCCACTCCTCCTCCCTTACCTATGCTCAGTTCTCTGTGGTCTTGGTACTTACTGAAAGTATAGATTTACTTCTGTCAGATAGATAGATAGATAGATAGATAGATAGATAGATAGATAGATAGATAGATATAGATAGATATAAAATTTAAGAAAAAATGGTCCCTGCATGTAACCATCTACTTGTGTTCAGATTTAAGAATAGTATTATATTAAATGAAACAAACCAGACTCAGAAATATAAATATTGCATGTCTTCTCTAAAATTTAGATTTAAAAAAATTAATTTAAAATTTAGATTAAAACATGCTTATATTACTTTCTCCCTTGCTTGTTTTCCCACAAATCCCTCTCATGCCCCCACAACTCCCCTCTCAAATTGATGGTCCCTTTTTAATTATATATTCTATAATATATACATACATAAATAATATACATACATGCACATGTAAAACATAAATACACTATGCTAAGTCTTGTGCATATAGATATAATATATTAACATATAATATATAAAGCTTGTGCTTATATGATTTCAGGAATGAATTTCTATATAAGATATGAAAATAGAAAGGTGACTATGAAAGGGAAAGGGGAGTAGAGAAGTTAATAGAATATTTGCAACATGAGTGTAGAAGTGGGGAATAATTGGATCACTCCACATGTTAGCAAAAGAACTAGGAAAGGAGATGGATTTGCCTGGGCCTTGTTCTCCATGCCTCACACTGACCTTGCACTTGAGCCCATTTTCTATGTCTGTAATTTCTAGATGTGTGTTCTGTGAACAGTAGATCCAGAGTCTTGCACCCTCCCAGTATCTCTCTTGTCCAAAGCTGACTTAGCGTCATGACCTGGTTCTAATATGTGAAACCTCATGGTGCTGGCAAGGCCCCAGTATGCAACAGGAGACTCACATCATGGTCTGCTTTTTGTCTCTATTGAAGTGTGTCAATGTTCCAATGTGGAATTCACTTCTATAGAACGGTGGGCTATCAGGGGATATTCTGTGGTGGAGAATTGCCCTGGACTTGTTCTCTGCCATTGAGATTGTCATCCCTAGAGCATACACATGAGCCATGGAGGACAACTGTATACCTCAGCTCAGAGTGGACCATGGCTGCATTACTTTGATATCTCCTTTCCAGAGCATGTCCCAGGAATGTTTCCCTGGCATAATACTCCTAAAGTTTGATCCACAGCAAGGTCCTTATCGTCTTACCTCCTTGCCCAAAGCATCACTGACATGGATATCCTGGCCAGTGTCTTATGGACTACGTGACAGTGAATGATTGATACAATGCTGAGTAAGAACTACAGATACATTGTTTTCTGTCCAGAGATAAATGGACACCATTCCTAAATGTCCTTTTGGCAAGGTTGGGAAAGATGTGTTGTGAGTAATTAATAGTCACAGCAGAACTCTGTAACCAAGAACTGAGCTCTCGAAGACAGCAGAAAGGGGAAGGATGGTAGGTGTCCTTTATTATCCTGTTGAGGGTAGCTTTTGTTTGTTTCTTTTGACCTCTATTTAACAATGCTTAGAAATAAACAGCTGAGACAGTGCCATAATTTTTTATTTGTTTGTTTCTTTGGTTGGTTAGTTGTTTTTTCCCACATAGGACTTGGGTGGAAGTGGAGCAGGACATATGTTCAGTTTTGTGGTATTTTTTTTTCTGAATGTGTGTGTTCCTCAAACTTTTCAAATTAGCAGATTATAAAACATGAGTAGATGCTACAAGACTAAGCAGAGCGGTGTTTGGTCCTTCAGAAGCCTCGTGCTGAGCACTCACAGAGGAGTCAGTTTAAATTTGGCAAGAAGAAAACAATAACCAATCAAATTATTACTACGGCACACGCCATGGTCACATTATAATTATGTATTTACCTCAAAGGTTGCAGAAGTTTCATCTATAAAAAAATTATTGTTGTTGTTTTCATTTTGTAATTAGTTTACTGGGAATTTTCATGATAGACATAGCATCTTCTAAATATTTTAACTGCTCCAGTGCCATAGGGATGACCTAACCCAGAAATATGGAGAGGGACGCACAGAGGGACCCTGCTTGTGAGACCCCCATCTGGCTCTAGAGCCTACTGACCTTCTAGATGGCCTGTGTTGACTACAAGGGATGAGGAAAATGTCCAGAACGAGGGCTCCAGAACCATCATAACTAGTTTGTCATAGGATCTTAGATGCTTCTCTTGAACTCTTACAGCCTCAGCTTTCTCAGAACAGAGTGGAAACATTTAAAAATTTTCAATCTACATTGAAATCCTTCAC